TCGGCTGGTGGATCTGGTAGAACTGAGTCGGGTTGTACTTCGTTTTGCAATGATTTTATGGCTTCTTGCAAAACTTCCTCGGTATAAAAGTCATCGATGCCAGTCAAGAGCTTTTCAGTGGCTTCAGCGTGTACGAACTTTGGATTGATACCACCGTAACAAATTCGACAGGATTTTACGGCACTTTTCCCATCCTTTGTCTCGAATTCGAGGAGAAATGCAGCATTGACCATTGCATGCGCGTTTTGTGTGCGAGGCATAATTTTGTAAGATCGAAACAGAAATTGGTCGGGCGATAGTTTGGGGAAGACAATGCTTATAATGACTTTTTGAGCCATGTCCAGTGACAGATACTCTTGCGGTGAATACGTTCGAACTAAGCCGTCGACAGAAGCGATCTTTAATCCAGCTCCAATCGTTTCTAACAACAAAAATATATCCGATGGAAATTCGGGATGAGCATGCTTTATGCTCAGATTTCCTGCAATCGTCCCCGCCTGCAATTGTATTTGAAAATAATCAACAGATATAGACTGAAAATCGAAAGATGTTTAAAATATTTTGAGCATTCACATTTCGAACTGGAATCGTAGCAACCAGATCGATATGCTTGGCCAGCTCTGTTCCATAAGTGTACTTATCACACTTGGTGGCTGCACCATTTAGCGTGTCCATCAACTCATTAAGCGAAACATTTCCACCGAAGCTCAGCGACGATTCGTCGGCCTTCATTGTGTGAAGCTCCGGAATGGATTTTATGTCAATAAAAACACTAATATTTTCAGAACGACGGTACACACCTTGAAGATTTCAATCAGCCCAGAGCGTATTAAATATTTATTAAAATGTAAAAAAACGGTCTTTAAATGAAAATTGTGTATTCACCGTGAGCAGTGTTGCCAGCAACCAACATGTACTCCGATTTCATGGTTTTGGTCGTGAATATTTTGAGTAATTCCGATAAACTGTTCGGTCTCAGCCAAACTTTTCCATCGTCTGCATTGATTTCTAGCGAGGTATTTCGGTTCGACACACATTCTTGGTGGCAACGATCTTCAGAAGAGCATTTTCGATTTTTGTTCATTCGACACAAATCGAGCGTTAGATCCTCAATATCAGTCGTGGATGAGTCTGATGCAAGCGATTTGAATGCATCCAAAATCGGTCGATAGCCCGTACAGCGACACAGATTGCCAGCAAATGAATTCTCCACTTGTTGCATTGATACCTTACCGTCCATCGCTTGCAACAAACTGTACATGTTCATTACCATGCCAGGCGAACAGTATCCACATTGCGTGCCATTGAAGTGGTACAGGGCTTTTTGAACTGGATGATACCCATTTTTCAGATTGCCAATTCCTTCGATCGTTGTAACATTCAAACCATCACATGCGTACACAGGCCAGAGACACTATAAATTTCATTTGAAAAATTGACAAGAAGAAATAAAGTATACACATGCCATTGATTATTAAGGAAAAATCGAACGCACTGAATTAACGGCAATCGTTCGAGAGACTCCGGCCGGTGTTATAATGCCTGAAATATTGACGATGCATGCGCCACAACCACCTTCTAGGCACATGAATTTAGTACCAGTCTGCCTTGCATAGCTTCGAATGTACACCAATAAACTTGTGTCGATCGGCACTTCACTTGGTCGAACTGATT